CGCTCCGGCCCTGTAGGGGCAGCAGAGGGCGGTAGACCTGGTGTCTGTGGGGGTTGTGGCGGAGAAATCATCTCGCTTGTTCTCATCGTGGAGCTGCGGACTGAAGTGGAACTAACCTGCGTCCAGTGGAGGTGTTTTAAATCTACCAGGGATCACTTTCAGGCCCAAAGAGTCGCTCCGAACCGGAACCATGTCGGCCTCATCGGCTAAAGTCAGCAAGAAGGAGAATTCAAATCACGAAGCAGGAGATGAGACCTCCGGTACGGTTATCCTCCACGAACGCCATTTTTGCGTCTTTATGGTCGTTTTGTTATCTTCGCTGTCTCGTGCTGAGCTCTTTGATGTTTAAATATTATTAGATGAAAGACGCGCCGCCGGGTTTCCCGCCATGAACTCGTTCAACTGTAGAAGCGCGAGAGAGTTCAGATGTAGCTTAAGCTAACTAGCCGTTAGCCTGATAGCTGAGGCGGTTCGGTTCGGTCACTGGGTCAGAGCGGAAGTCACTGTTTGTTTTTATGTTGCGTCACGCCTGTAAGGTCTCCGTGGACCCGGCGGCTCCATCTGAGGGAGCACAGGTTCGGATGGAGCCCGGTTTCATTCAAACCAGGCCGCCTTCAGCAGCGACAGGAAGCAGCGGGAGGTGGAGGAGCCTCACGCACGCGCTGCTCACAGACACCGCAGGTCACAGGAACCGAGTTCTGGTTCCGGTCCAGTAGAGGCTGAACTCAAGTGTTTGTCGTTTCAGAAAAAGAGCAGCAGGAAGCGATCGAACACATCGATGAAGTCCAGAATGAAATCGACAGGTGAGCTTGGAAACACCTGGACTGTTGTTGTTTACCTGGACTGTTGTTGTTTACCTGGACCGTTGTTGTTTACCTGGACCTGTTGTTGTTTACCTGGACCTGTTGTTGTTTACCTGGACCGTTGTTGTTTACCTGGACCTGTTGTTGTTTACCTGGACTGTTGTTGTTTACCTAGACCTGTTGTTGTTTACCTGGACCTGTTGCTGTTTACCTGGACCGTTGTTGTTTACCTGGACCGTTGTTGTTTACCTGGACTGTTGTTGTTTACCTGGACCTGTTGTTGTTTACCTGGACCGTTGTTGTTTATTGTTTGTTTTCTCTTTCCAGATTAAACGAGCAGGCGAGCGAAGAGATCCTCAAAGTCGAGCAGAAGTACAACAAACTTCGCCAGCCGTTCTTCCAGAAGCGATCAGAACTAATCGCCAAGATCCCAAACTTCTGGGTCACGACGTTCGTCAACCATCCGCAAGGTGAGTTCTGTCAGGGTTTACCAGACTGACCCGTACTGTCAGAACCTGACCCGGGTCTAAAGTCCAAACCTGTTCCTGCAGTCTCGGCCCTCCTAGGGGAGGAAGACGAGGAGGCTCTTCATTACCTGTCCAAGGTGGAGGTCACGGAGTTCGAGGACATCAAGTCTGGATACAGAATAGATTTTGTAAGTGGGTCAGTTCTGTCCAAGGTGGGTTCTTGTTCTGGGTCACACGTTCTGACCCGTGTGTTGTCCTCTGCAGTCGTTTGATGAGAACCCGTACTTCGAGAACAAAGTTCTCTCCAAAGAGTTCAACGTGAACGAGAGCGGAGACCCCGTGTCCAAGTCGTCTGAGATCAAATGGAAATCTGGGAAGGTGGGTTTGGTTCTGGACCCTCAGAACCATCAAGAGACTAGTCTTGTTTAATCCCCCCTCACCGGGTCTCTTTGTGTACAGGACCTGACCAAACGGGCCGGTCAGACGCCGAACAAAGCCGGGAAGAAGCGGCAGCACGAGGAGCCCGAGAGCTTCTTCACCTGGTTCTCGGACCACTCGGACTCCGGCGCCGACGAGCTCGGCGAGGTCATCAAAGACGACATCTGGCCCAACCCCCTCCAGTACTACCTGGTAGGACGAGCAGACCCTGTTCTGATTCTGTCAGGGTTCAGGCGCGGACGATTCAAGTTCCTCTGGTTGGTTTCAGGTTCCTGACATGGAGGATGAAGAGGGGGAGGACGACGAGGACGATGAGGAAGAGGAGGGTCTGGAGGACATTGATGAAGGCGAAGAGGAGGAGGGGGAGGATGAAGATGGTGATGGAGAGGTGAGAAGTCTGAATTATTGAAGACAAAGGTTCTGTTTCAAAGTCTGGGTCAGCAGCGTCTGCTGGTTCACAGATTATCAGATTTATTCTCAGATTACGTCCGTCCTCTGGTTCTGGACTCGGGTCTCAGGGGCAGCAGGGAGGTCCAGACTTCTGTCTCCACAGCCAGCTGTTCCCCAGGCCAAACGAGAGGTGTAGTCCCTCCAGCGTGTCCTGGGTCTCCTCCCAGTCAGACATGCTCCAAGCACCTCGAGTGTCTCCTCTGGACGTGGAGGAGCAGCGGTTCTGCTCCCAGCCTCTCCTGATAACTGAACTCCTCGGCGTCTCTGAGGGTCCAGCTCCTGCAGAGGATCTCATTTCAACCTCCTGGATCCACGATCTCATTCTTTCAGTCTCTACCAGAGCTCATGACCAGAGGAGAGGGCAGGAACCAGTAAACAGAGCTTTGTCTTACAGCTCAGCTCCCTCTTCACCACAACGGACCAGTACAGAGTCCACAATACTGCAGATACTGCACCACTCTCCGTCTCACGCTGAGCAAAACCCCGAGATACTTGAACTCCTGCACTTGAGGCAGAACCTTGACCCAGAGTCCAGCCTCTGACCGAGGAGGTGCTGACTGTGCACGATGACGCCAACAGGACCACCTGCAGAGAGGTGAGCCCACCAGACCGGACTCCCTCCACCCCCTGGCTGCACCCAGAAATCCTGTCCATAAAAGTTCTGAACAGAATCGTAACAACGGGCAGCCCCGGTCCAGCTCCCTCCCTGAACGGGTCTGACTTCCTCCAGCAACGGAACCGAACTCTCGCACCGCTTGTACAGGGACGTAACAACGGCCCCACAGTGAACCTCCAGGACCACGGCCGAATGCCTTCAAGTCCAAGCACGTAGTGTAACTGCCGGGCTACGCAACGCACCTGACTAAATGCACACACTACACTTAACATGAATCATCGTTTGTACGTAAATAAGACTCGGCAGTTTTTAATCCACGCGTCATTGTCAGCGTGTGGCGCAGTAGAAGAACGAGCCACCGTGTGACGTTCCATAGATCGTGACAAGTCTTCATGATGCTCCACTCACTCCTGGTCAAAACACTGGACCTGCAGAACGACACGAGAACCATCAGAACCTGGTCACTGCACATAATCTCAATGATGTAAAATGATACATAATCTCAATGATGTAAAATGAT